TTTTTTTTTTCCTACCTAAGCTGAGTGCCTTGAGAGGCTATTTCAGCGTAACCCTAACGTTTGAAGGTGTTTGTAGGTACCACAAGCACTGGTCACCGTCCTCGTCGAACCCGTCGCTTGCGACGAAGGGCTCGACGAGCGAATCAACCCATAGACGCAGCCCACTGAGTTTCTCGCCGGATCTTCTCAGTGGGTGACGTTTCCGATCCGGTGGTAGATGCTTGCTAGGGCCAGTGTTAGTATCACTTCGGTTTGAGCCCCGTGAGCCTCCTGAGCTCACCTGCTAGTTAAGATTACGCTGAAATAGCCTATCAAGGCTATCAGCTTAGGTAGAAAAAAAAAAGTTTCAACCAGTCTATTAATATATTTTATGCCTAAATTTTTTTAGCTACTTACCTATAAACTTTATATAAATTATGTCAGTATAGTGCAATATTTCGTAACAATAATCTTTTTTGAATAGTTAATACCATATTTAATTAAGTAAAAAAGTTTTTTAATCAATTTAATTTGATGGTGACCTTGATTGAAATTTTTTGATTAATTGAACTTTGAAGTCGCAGTGGACTGTTACTGTAATTTACTAATTTTCTATATATATTACAATCATTGTTTTTAACGTGTGATTTTTACTTTTTCTTGCAGTAAAAATGATTTACCCGAGATTCAAGAATATTTTCCACTAGCAGATCTAATATTTATCGAAGGAGCTGGACACTGGGTGCACAGTCAGAAACCAGAAAAGTTCTTGGAAATTGTCTCCAAATTTCTTACGGAAAAATGATATTGAAATATAGGTCTAAGACTACAGAAGTAGTAGTAGCACTCAATAGAATCAGTGCCCTTTGATAGAAAGATAAAATCAGCAAAATGTGTTCACAAGAACTGTATTATCGCGTGATTGAGCTTGACAATTGTTTTTTTTTGGTTATGAGTTTTTGGAAAATTAGAACCAAGTCCAAAATCAAATTAATAAAATAATTCCCAAATACTCTCATATTTTTTAATAGTGTGTGTGTGTGTGTGCGTGTGTGTTTTTTTCCTACCTAAGCTGATGGTCTAGAGAGACCATATCAGTGTCACCGAGCTAGGGTTATTGGTGTGGAAGTGAAGACGACTAGAGCTTAAGAGACCAGATAAATGAATGAATGAATGATTTTTTATTTATTGCCATTGTAGGCAGACGAGCATACGGCCCACCTGATGGTAAGTGGTCACCGTCGCTCATGGACGTCAGCAATGCCAGGGGCAGAGCCAAGCCGCTGCCTACCATTTCAGGCAACAATAAGTTCATATGTGTACATAGTATCATTGAAACATACTCAAAATTAACAAAAGCAATCAAATAAAAAAGATACATTTATTAAAAGTAATGATCAGTTGAATACATTTCAAATATTCCATTCCACTGATACCTACTTCGAACCAACCATTATTATTATTATTATTATTTAGTCCGCAAGTGAACCATGGTACAATGGTTCAAGTACCGACAGTCATAACGGTCTGTTAATGCCTTCAGGATGCTGTTAGGGCTAACCCAGACCGGGCGAATCAGGGATGTCCACCTTTTCCGCATAGTCGTAAAGAAACAGTGATAAAGTGTAAGTACAACACTACAGCCCACTTTGAAACATGAGGCTACCTTCAAACCGAACGAGTGTTTTCTCTCTCGTGGCAGAAATAGGTACGAGGGTAAGAGACGGGCCGTGTTGGTTCATAAGATGCTCATTTTTTATCCACACATAGAAAAATGGTTTCATGCATCCTCCATACATCATCATACATGATAGGGTAATAACGATGTCCGAATGCGTTTTTGGCTCTAAATTGGTATGGTCCTCATTGAGCGCTGTTTTTTAAATGGCATGATAAATGTGGTTGATCGCAATCACTCTTCCTTGAAGTCGGGACAGTATTAAAAGCAAAAGCTTAATTTAAACTAAAACCCTAAACAAAATTTGTAAAAAAAAAAGTTATTAGAAGTGTCACAGCGCCTTGTGAGTCCGCACGGGGTACCGCCACTCTGTCTATATCTACCGTGAAACAGTAATGCGTTTCGGTTTGAAGAGTGGGGCAGCCGTTTTTCTGTAAAAACTGAAACCTTAGAACTCATATATCAAGGTGGGTCGCAGCATTTAGGTTGTAAACATCTACAAACTATGGGCTCCATTACCCACTTAACACCAGGAAAGCGGTGAGCTCGTCCACCCATACCGTCCTAAACAATAACAAAAAACATAGACTTAAGCTTAAGACTCTTTGCAAAACTCCTCTGAAGAAAACTTTTTATTGCACTCTGGAAACACCATCAACTGAAGTTCAAGTAGAGTAGAAAGTAGTGTGCTGCGTGGCAACGTTAATGTTTGGAAAAGCACTTTAGATGAATGCAACGGTAGGCAGCGGCTTGGCTCTGCCCCTGGCGTTGCTGAAGTCCATGGGCGACGGTAACCACTCACCATCAGGTGGGCCGTATGCCCGTCTGCCTACAAAGGCAATAAAAAAAATGCAGTAGTGCAAGGAAATGGAACGAACACACACAAAAACATAAATGCGAAAACCCAACTCAGACATAAATATAGCTTTACGACTACTTACGAAACCTACAACAATAATGTACAAAAAAATTTTTTATTGCCCTTAAAGGCAGAGGAGCATACGGCCCACCTGATGGTGAGTGGTTACCGTCGCCCATGGACTTCAGCAATGCCAAGTTGTCTACTAGGTACTTTTTTTTTTAATTTATTTTTGACATTTATCAACAGTAATATTGTAACATAAATTTATAAAAGCAGTGTAATAATCGTTATCTACTTAAATATTTATTGTTGATGTTACAGTTGTTCCGCTTCGCCCGTATGTGGTGAGATAATAGTTTGGTTTTGTACCAAAAATAAAATGTAGTAAAAATAAAATACCTACAAATTATATTATTTAATGTATTTTCCTTATGTATATCAGCAAGAAGGTATTATGTTATGTTTTAGCAATAACACGTAGATATATTTAACAATTATCCTGCCAATAAATGCTCCGTAATATACTTAACGACTAAGCAAAACAGGAAATTAGTGACAAAATACAAACTAGTAGGTATTTATAATATAAAAATAAATGTGCAGCATCAAGACAGCTTATTAATGAAAATTCATGAAAGCACAAACGATTATTCTACCTCAATGCCGTATAGCAGTTGTTTATCTAAGCTAATCTCTCTATAGCTATCTAGCAATCTCAAATTTTAGAATAAGAACAAGCAACGCCAATTTGCTAAATTATACAAATCAACACTCTTGACTTGAGTCAGTCAGTTAAGGTGGCGGTGATGGCATTCACGTTACATTGCTTCTAAGTTCTAAAATCCCTTTAAAAACTGGATTGAACTAGTTTGCCCCCCCTCCCCCATTCAGCGCAATACAACCTGTGGACTCTCGTAATGGCAACGGTGCGGTCTACATCAGGTGAACTGAGATCTTCGTTTTCTCATCCCTCGCAATGAAAATTAAAAAGAATCCGCTACCTATCGCTAAACAGGAAAATATCATGGAACGCTGGAAACACCGTGAAAAAGAATTTATTTGAACAACGAATGGTACCTGGCAGAAATTTGAGAGATAGTAGGTATCTAAGCAGAAAAGATAAAATTTCCCTTATTTCATAGAAAAGTTGAAAAGAAATTACATCTCTAACAAATCTTCAGAAGGTGCTCTCCGTGGAACACGCATTACCATGAAAACCAGTCTCTCCGTAGACCCAAACGTTGCAAATCCTTTATAAGCTAATATATCTCAAAGTAAAGACCGAGTCCGGGCAGGATCGACATAGTGCCAAAGTAATACTCGTATTACAGTTATCCCCCTCAAAAGATGATACTCTTACAAAGCATTTTCATATTACGCGATTTCAGTCCCTCGTTTAACTCGAAGTCGTCGTGGCCTAAAGGATAAGACATTCGGTGAATTCGTATCTAGCGATGCACCGGTGTTCGAAACCCGCAGGCGGGTACCAATTTTTCTAGTGAAATACGTACTTAACAAATGTTCACGATTCACTTCCACGGTGAAGGAATAACATCGTATAATAAAAATCTCAACCCCGAAAAATTATAATTTGCGTAATTACTGGTGGTAGGGCATCTTGTGAGTCCGCATGGGTAGGTACCACCGCCCCGCCTATTTCTGCCGTGAAGCAGTAATGCGTTTCGGTTTGAAGGATGGGGCAGCCGTTGTGACTATACTGAGACCTTAGAACTTATATCTCAAGGTGTGTGGCGCATTTACGTTGTAGATGTCTATGGGCTCCTGTAACCACTTAATACCAGGTGGGCTGTGAGCTCGTCCACACATCTAAGCAATAAAAAAATAAAAAAACACGAGTTTTCCCCCGTATAACGCGGGAATTTCCCCGGTTATATTTCTGACCCTGTCAAATTTATAATGATTTGTACAGTTCATAATAATTATTTCGCGTACCTTTGCACTGTGTCAATTGTCTTGTTATAAAATGTAATTAAATTAATTTACTAAATTTTTGTTCCTAGTTTTTGAATTGTAATAACATTGGTTATACTGTATTATTTATATGTCTATTATAGTTGTACATAACGCGTTATATGGGGTCACATAATATGCGAGAATACTATGCCTTATGCGAGAATACTCCTACACTGCGTTTCCTATAACGCGGAACCAATCTACTGTGTTATTGCGGGGATTACAGTGCATAGTTTAATTTATATTATTTTTAAACCTTTACTGTTGTATGTATGGTATTTGATTCAGGTCAAGTCTCAATACAATTGAAAAAGTAGGTAGGAAGATAATGTGTGTGATATGTAAGTAGATACACGCGTCGAGTTCAAGCCTACCTAAATCGGCATTACCTAATGACATTAACATAAAAATCTTGTAGAACTTAAATTTTATTTAACAAATGCAAAGTAGTGGTACCTAATTATTAGATCACTAGCTGACCCGCGGTATGCGGTAGGCAGCGGCTTGGCTCTGCCCTTAGCATTGCTGAAGTCCATGGGCGACGGTAACCACTCACCATCAGGTGGGCCGTATGCTCGTCTGCCTACAAAGGCAATAAAAAAAAAAAAAGAAAAACCCGGCAGACTTCGTAGTGCCTCAATCGATAAATAAAAGACCGAAACTTTTGTATAAAATAAACTTAAAACAAACAAAAGAACCCGTCCGACAGGGGACACATCAAAGGGAAAACAAAATTGTTATTTTTATTTAACTCTGAGCATTTTCATATTTATCTACCTTTTAAACCTTCTCTGAACTTCCACAAATAATTCAAGACCAAAATTAGCCAAATCGGTCCAGCCGTTCTCGAGTTTTAGCGAGACTAACGAACAGCAATTCATTTTTTATATATAGAGAAGAAGAAGATAAGCGAGATTTTACCGGACAAGGCGTTTGCACTAATTTTTTTTTATTGCCCTTGTAGGCAGACGAGCATACGGCCCACCTGATGGTGAGTGGTTACCGTCGCCCATGGACTTCAGTAATGCCAGGGGCAGAGCCAAGCCGCTGCCTACTGCAAAGAAAGAAAGAAGAAAGAAAGAAAGAAAGACTAGAAGACAAAATATGATCAACGTATTCGTTTTCCGCCGCCATTGCCACACGACAATATGCTCCACTTCTATTAACATTGATAAAACGAAACATGTAAAATCACACCACCTATCAACAGTCATTTTCAATAATAAACCAATNAATGCCAGGGGCAGAGCCAAGCCGCTGCCTACTGCAAAGAAAGAAAGAAGAAAGAAAGAAAGAAAGACTAGAAGACAAAATATGATCAACGTATTCGTTTTCCGCCGCCATTGCCACACGACAATATGCTCCACTTCTATTAACATTGATAAAACGAAACATGTAAAATCACACCACCTATCAACAGTCATTTTCAATAATAAACCAATATTTGTTTGTGGTTTTGCACACAACTCGGACCGCATGCTTGCACTCATAACTAATACGCGCCCGATTATAAAACCGGACACGGCCTTAACGAAAATCATTCTCACTTCACAGTTCTTCTGTGAAGTGTGTAAAGTAATATAAAGAACGCGTTTTATTTTTTATTTAATTTCAATATTATCAAAAATGGCTGACGTTTTTGAAAGCCTCGAGTTGCTGTTCGATCGTCCAAATGAGCCGCTCATCACACCCAAGGGCGAAAACAATTCTGTGTTTCAACTCACAGAACAATTTTTGGTCAGTTTTTCATCTTGTTTTTTTCTTCCTTAATAAGGCAGTTGCTCATGAACCTTAGCACTTAAGCTTCCACATTTATAAAAATTGTACACCCACCAAACGAGGAAAGTCGAAACGAAACTTAATAAAACAACGCGCGTGTAACTATGAAGTTCGGTAAGCCAGACTTTCCTCTTTCGATGGGCAATATACCTAGTATTTATCAATTTATTATTTCTTCAATATATGCTACGCAGGTAATTGAATACTGTATTGTTTTAGACTGAGGACTACGCCAACAACGGCATCGAATTAAACAACCGTTTCGGTGACGATGCTTCTGAGAAGATACCCCTCAAGAACCTCAGCAAACTTCCAGAATTTAAAATTGCAACTCAACTACCCAAGGACGCTGAATTCTCATTATTTCTACCTAAACATCAAGAAATGGCAAATGAACTTCTTGGCGTTCTCATGGGTAAGCAATTTATAATTCTGATCGAAACCTAACTAAGTAGGACTAGATCAATGCGTTTTTTGTCTTAGATTTAATGCACCTCACATTTGGTAAAAAAAATCTATACATTCCAACGGTAATCATTAAACGTTGGTCATTAATATATGAATTCCTCTGAACGCGGTTGATGCGAAAAAATGAAATTACAGGATCAATGCCAAGCATATAAACGCAAAGTACTAGTTTAAATCGTGCTTTTCTTCAAACTTGTTTCAAATCGGGATGGTATACAAATCGATGTTTTCCCAACAGTGTTAAAAAACATGAAATTGTCGTCACAAATAAATTTCAAATGTCAGCGACCTAACATTTCAGGAATACCCGATATTTCGGTAATATTCTGCCATAATCGCAAAACCGCGAAAGTTCATAACCATTCGGAATAAATAAAACATCATATATGAAAATAATAAAAATTTAATATTTAAACTATTCATTCATAAATGGTAACAATTTATCCCCGTTTAGATGTACCAGAGAACGAATTACAAGATTTGCTATCGACATGCGCCTTTGCACGAGTAAACCTGAACCCTCAGTTGTTCAACTATTGTTACTCTGTGGCACTGATGCACAGGTAATCTATATATTTATTTACAAGCTTTATAATTAAGCTCAAAGTGCTTTATATGCGTTGAGGCTAGATAAAATTTTTGAGCCACTTATTTTATACATAGAAACCTACCCTTAGGTTCAGCTTCGATCTGATGAATGACCCGTTAACTTCTAGATCACGAACAAACATTTTTGAGCCGAAAATGTATCTAATAGGCAAACGACTTTTTGGGATTCAATATGAGATATTTTATTAATTTCTTCAACCAGGTTTTGACATTAGTATAATAAAATAAAAAAATCACAAGTGATAAAATAATGTTCTCTGTTTTAGTTATTGAAATGCATTTACTAACATTCATTACTTATTTTTAATATTAAAAATTAAGTAGATATTCAACAAATACTAACAATAAAATACTTAAGTAGAATAAATTATAAACATAATTATTTTTCTAATTAATGTTTTGCAGACGTGATACCAGAAAAGTCAGAGTTAAGAATTTTGCAGAAGTATTTCCCTCTAAATTCTTGGATTCCCAAGTATTCACTCAAGCTCGTGAAACTGCAGCCGTTATTCCACCAGATGTTCCAGTGAGTTTTCACTTGTCCTTTTTTCCACAGCAATTATCACATTCTTTAATATTGTCTGAACACAACACAGGTTTGTAATTTGGTGTCCATGGTCCTAAGCTGTCATTAGAATAGAAATCCATTGGATAAGTACCATCGTCTTTCAACCATTTTGTTTTGCCTAAACTCACTGCAAACTCATAAGGCGTTAATAATGGTTTTGGGAATGCTGTACCCCAGTCAATAGATAATCTGGGACAGGCTACCTGAACAAATGCATCCAGTCCAAATAAGGCAAGTTTGCTAGGAAAAATCTCTGATAGCAATATCTTTACATAATGTTTATCAGAGTTTGATAATTGCTTTTCTAAATTTGCTAACACTTTTGTGCTGCCCTGTCTTCCAAGAGTGCCAAGAATAAGCCCAAAATTACTTGCAGACTCCGCAGTCTTTACTTGCTTCTGTCTGTTGGCCTTCATGAGAACATGATCATATTCTTCTTTTGTAATTTTTTTATCATATGGATCATATTTGTAGGCACTTATTGTAGGATTCGCTATCATTATAGATTCTAAATGAAATCTTCCATCTCCTAAATAAACAATTGCATCTGCTTGTAATTTAGGAGCAGTGCATCCAAGTATCTCTCCTGGTGAAAGGGGTTTAGTTTGTGGCACTGTCACCATGTATTCTTCAATACGAAGATTCTTGGCTACAGAATGTAGAGTGGTTACGAATTGAATTGTGCTAACTAATGCTAAATGAGTTTTAGATGGAAAGTTTACTTTTATTGTTTCTATGAAATGTGACGGATCAATTTTTATATCCACAAATATATACAGGACCTTAATACTACTAGTTTGATCTATGGGAATTAGGCAAGAGTGTCCATAGTGCACAAGGAGGTCTACACCGAGTGCCACAGCAGTGAAGTCATCTATACAGCAGGCTCCGTATGTCACATCTCCCATTATCACAGTATCGGCTTCGGTGAATGTTTCTATTATGTCACAGAGGGTCGTTGCAAACATAGTTAGACCTGAAATTTTTTATTTAGAAACATGAAACCATGAGTATATTTCAATTTAATTTTCATCATCTTGTTTGTCTCATCATGATTCTCAATAGGGACGGGTTTCATTTGTGTTCGAAATGAATTTCCATGTGAAAGTTAAAGTTATTCTAGGGTCGAGAGTGCTTCGGTTATCTCATGGAATTATGTTTCCGGTACCCTTAACACTATAAAAAATCCTAGCTTGGAGCTTTTGAATGCAAACCTTAAATTATTTTTTTGTAAAATGTGTTCTGTAAGCGTTTTATGAAAAATTATGAAATGTACCATACCTTCAGGCATCTGTAGGGCCACGCGTTTTGCCGCTGTAGACCGTATTCTCCATATCGTCTTGTGTATTTCGAAATTATAATTTTCTGGTAAAGCCGCGCAAGCCCTGTTTAGCAGGGGATCATTCAACAAATCATCAGGTATTTTATTTAAAGATCTAACTTTGGGTTTAAAAGTCTTTCTTTGTCCTTCCGGTTTCGCACGTATAACAACTATACCAGGATTATTGGTAAAATCTTCCATAATATTATTTAGATTAGAACATGGTCATTAAAAAATAAAAAAGGTTACTTTTGTTCCATCAAAATATAAACACTGCACGGCACGCGCACTGGCCTACGTGACTTTTGCAAGAGCGCGTACGTTTCAGACTACGCAGCGAATTGTTATTTCCACCTACTTGATCATGCGGTTTTTATTTTTATATTTCGATATGTTCCAAAACTGAGAATGATATGTAATCACTTAGTTTTTAATTAACTTATTATTCTTACATGTAAAGAAAAAAAAAAAAATATAGTTTTCGAAAAAAAATATATATAACGATTATCAATAGGTTTTGAAAAAAATATATAAAAATAGGAATGGAAGGCAACTTGTTAGGGAATACCTAAGTATCTGTTGTTAATTGAATGTAGTCCTCGTATATTAGTAAATTTAAAAATATTATGCCAACCAAAAACCAGTCCTTTTGAACTACCTTCTCCTCTCTTCAATCATACGCATGCCTGCCAGCGCGGCGTGCGCCACAGCGCAGTGCACTCAGCTTTGAAAGTAAAGAAAATTGTGAAGCCTTTCTTTTCAACCTATCCATAATACTCGTAGTAAATGTATCATTTACAGCTAGGTAGATATTACCAATAATTGAGTATGGGTTTGAAAATTAGAAATGATTGAATTCCTATTGATATAAAAAATAATCGAAATTATGACAGCTCTATAGTGATCATGCCAATTACATTTGATTCGACTACACTATATAAATTAACTGAATATGGCATTGTCCAATGAATATGCAGAGTCTAAATAGAAACAGGGAACGTATCTCATACAGATTTAGAGAAAATTTCAGTAACGCAATTCTTTGAAATCTGCGTTCTATTCTAGCGTAGTTATAAAAAATATACTATTTCATAAGACGCTTTAACAGATTACATTTTTACAGCGCATACCAATTATCATTCCACGAGACTACACTGCGACGGACTTAGAAGAAGAACACCGCCTTGCGTACTGGCGAGAAGATATCGGCATCAACCTGCATCATTATCACTGGCATTTAGTCTACCCGTTTACGGCCAACGATCTTTCAATCGTAGCTAAGGACCGTCGTGGGGAGTTATTCTTCTATATGCACCAGCAAGTGATAGCCCGCTTCAACTGTGAGCGCTTGTGCAACTCATTAAAAAGAGTTAAAAAATTCAGCAACTGGAGGGAGCCAATTCCGGAGGCTTACTTCCCTAAGCTTGACAGTTTGACTTCGTCACGTGGATGGCCCCCACGTCAGTCCGGTATGCAATGGCAGGACCTGAATCGTGCCGCCGAAGGTCTATTTGTGACCATTGACGAAATGGAACGCTGGAGAAGAAACGTGGAAGAAGCTATCGCGACTGGTACCGTTAGATTGGTAAATATTCTCTGCATTAGCCTTCCTTATACGCAACTTTTTTTATTTTTTTTATTGTATAGATGGCTGGACGAGCTCACAGCCCACCTGGTGTTAAATGGTTACTGAAGACCATATACATCTATAACGTAAATGCGCCACCCACCTTGAGATATCAGTTCTAGGGTCTCAAGTATAGTTACAGCGGCTGCCCCGCCCTTCAAACTGAAACGCATTACTATTTCACGGCAGAAATAGGCGGGGTGGTGGTACCTACCCGCGTGGACTCAGAAGAGGTCCTACCACAAGTAACTGCATGCACCACTTACTGCATCCCAGGCTCCGGATTCCCGGTCGGAGACGCAGTCCTCGTTTGGGTAAAAACACCGAGGCATCGCTACATACGAATGCATCGGACGTGTTATCCTCTCCTCTAGGCCACGACGACTTCTTAAAATCATACTCTCTTGAATCATGTTTCGATGTATTAAATATGCAATATGGTATTATTGTAATTCCGGGCACAGTAACAGCACGAAGATTCTTCGGTCTACGTAAACTGACTTTATTTCATGATCATCGCGCTTCGTTTTGTTTTCATGGACTTTTTCCCAACCTATTAAATGAAAGACAAATTAGAAGTTAACGACCGCCGGAACCTGGCCGCTTAATGCGTTTGTACTCAAAATGGGAACCGAATGAACGTTCTATTATCAAACCCTTCTGTAATTCGTTTTTTTTTTTTTCTTTGTTAAAGAAGTATTATTCCATTGGTACCGTGAAGGATTAATACATTTTACATGAATACTGTTTGTTTACAGCCAAACGGGCAGACTCGGCCTCTTGACATCGATACGCTCGGCAACATGTTGGAGTCCAGCGCCCTCTCGCCGAACAGAGAACTGTACGGTTCGATACACAACAACGGGCACAGTTTCACCGCGTACATGCACGACCCGGAACACAGATACCTTGTGAGTACTGCGCCTGTTTTTCATAAAATAGCAACAAAAAGCAGCCACTTTAATGATGACTAGCGGCCCGCTCAGGCTCCGTTAGGGTCTTTAACAAAAATTTCAACGATATTTGACGTTGTTTTATTTTTTTTAAATAAAAGAACGCTTATTGCGCCATAACTATAATAGTTAAACATATACTGCCGCGACACTTTTTGTAAATAATAATGTGTTCAACAAAGGGGGACACGCGATGTAAATAATATTTTAGGTATTTTTTTACACCTTTGGTTACATTTTTAGAGTTTTAGTAAGGATCCCTAATTATTTTCAAAAAAGATTATAGTCTGTCACTCGGGAATAGTGTAGCTTCCAAATAGTGAAAGAATTTTTCAAATCGGTTCAGTAGTTTCGGAGCCTATTAAATACAAACAAAGAAATCTTTCCTCTTTATAATATTAGTATATCGGTAAATATATATATTTTGAAGTAATTTGAAACGTTATTGACCGGGTCTCGAAGATATGTGAATACGGTCGCCTACTTTGAAACATGTGAGGTAAAAGTCGAAATTGCATTGGAAAACAGAACTCATAAGCTTATTGCAATAATTCAGTTACTTTATACATTGAATTGCTTGGAAAACAATATTTTCGTTTACTAAATATTATTATTCCTTTTATTATACGATTAATTCAAATGACATATTATTATGCAATTTTTAAATACAGTAAAAGCTCCTTATTCGCTCCCTTCATTCGTTTTCACACCTTGCAATGCTCGCAATGCATTACGGAACAGCCGAAGTGCGGTAGCTTAAGGCGTGTTTTTAAAATCTTTCCACTTGCTATTGTGGCGCCACCTTAATTGGCTCTCTTTCAGCGAACACTTTTGAATAAACTGAGATAATACTCCTTAGTTCTACCCTCCATACTCTATTAGTCAACATGTAATGTTTGGGTTCTTTTATAAATGACAAACATTACGATCGGGCTTACATTTTTATTTAGTTAATCACGGTTTTTGCTTCCGTCTAACATGTACGTCGTAGAGAATATGGCGGGTCAGTCAAAGAGTATATTTCGTAGAGTGGTCAGCAAATATAAATATTATGAAAATCGACATTAGGTCGCATACACGTTACACAACAGGTACCTTACCTACAAATCCACGCCACAGATTAGTTGAACTTTTTCATCATTAAAACACTTTTAATGTCCATAAGTTAGGTAAATTAGTAATTCTCTTAAGAAACCACACAGGGTATCCCTTCGCTTGACCTGCTGGACGAAAAACGCTACAAATATCTTTTTTTACAGGAACAATTTGGTGTTATCGCTGATGAGGCCACAACGATGCGCGATCCATTCTTCTACCGCTGGCACGCCTACATCGATGACGTTTTCCAGAAGCACAAGGAATCTGCCTACGTGCGTCCTTACACCAGATCTGAGGTGATTTTCTTTAGTTTTTTATTAATGACTTAGTTGATAAATTTTTCTTGAAGCATTATTGCGTTGCGTTGTTCATAGGCACTGCCAAGCCCCTGCCGTTGAACTTTCCAGCTAAAGGAACACTATAAAAGAAAGTCTATTCCAGAGCCGAAAGTTTCGTGGTAAAAAGATATCCGAAAACGCACTACCAAAGACCGCAGTGTTTCTAATTTGTTTGAAATGAAACTCTGAAAATGAACCCTGGTTGCGGATTGCGCAATGCCGAGAAGGAAATGTCCTTGTGTAACATAGATTATTCATACCGGTTTCAAGGGCAATTTGGCTCTGGTACACCAAGGGGACTGCGAGAGTCCTATTTCTGCCGTGAAGCAGTAATGCGTTTCGCTTTGAAGGGCGGGGCAGCCGTTGTAACTATACTTGAGACCTTAGAACTTATATCTCAAGGTGGGTGGCGCATTTACGTTCTAGATGTCTATGGGCTCCAGTAACCACTTAACACCAGGCGGGCTGTGAGCTCGTCCACCTATCTGAGCAATAAAAAAAAGAAAAAAAAGGTCCTAAGTCGTCTAATAAAAACCTTGCCTCGCCTTACCGTAGCTCGAGAACCAGGGCGTGCAAGTGAGGTCCGTGTCCGTGGAGACGCCCGGCGGACAACCGAACACGCTGAACACGTACTGGATGCTCAGCGACGTGAACTTGTCGCGCGGACTCGACTTCTCCGACAACGGGCCCGTGTACGCTCGCTTCACTCACCTCAACTACAGGCATTTCAGCTACAGGTGAGATAGCGACCCGCCCTCGTGCTATATTCGTATATAAGTCGTCGTGGCCTAAAGGATAAGACGTCCAGTGCATTCGTATGCGATGTACCGGTGTTCGAATCCCGCAGGCGGGTACCAATTTTTCTAATGAAATACGTACTCCACAAATGTTCACGATTGACTTCCACGGTGAAGGAATAACATCGTGTAATAAAAGCCAAACCCGCAAAAATTATAATTTACGTAATCACTGGTGGTAGGACCTCTTGGGAGTCCGCACGGGTAGGTACCACCACCCCGCCTATTTCCGCCGTGAAGCAGTAATGCGTTTCGGTTCGAAGAGTGGGGTAGCCGTTGTAGCTATACTGAGACCTTAGAACTTATATCTCGAGGTGAGTGGCGCATTTACGTTGTAGATATCTATGGGCTCCAGTAATCGCTTTAAAAAAAAAACACTCAATTAACAACTTTAAAACTTTGCTTAGAAAGTTGATAATCCTGAACGAGTATTCATAAACACGAGTTTACGGTTTATATTTCAATTTAATCAGTTCAATAAAGACATACTTATAGATAGTTTCGATTTAGATTTTAAGGTGATAATATCTTGTTCGTGACATTTCTTGAGCGATACTTATTATTATTGATCGTGGTGATGAAGCGAAAATATGAAAGAGCGTATGTGAAAATATGAAACTCCTGTATTTTTACTTTTCTTGGTTTATTAAAACGGTTAATAAAGTTGGCATTAATTAGGCATTTTTTACTACAGACGTTGGCAGGTTTTCAACTAAAGTAAGGCAGGATCTATAGTTTAGAGATGGTCACACTGCGAAGGGCTCAGCCAGTAAATTAACCCACAGACACAGCCACTGAGTTTCTCGCCGGATCTTCTCAGTGGGTCGCGTTTCCGATCCGGTGGTAGATTCTGCGAAGCACGGCTCTTGCTCGGGTTCGTGATAGTAACATCGTCAGGTTTGAGCCCCGTGAGCTCACCTACTAGCCCGGTGATGCTGATTAATTCTCTCTAGACCATCAACTTAGGAAAATAAACTATAGATTTGTGGGGACTCACAAGACGTCCTACCACCAGTAAAAACCAATTCTTACCACCAATCTCTTTCAGAATAAACGTGAACAACACCGGTAGCAGCCGTCGCACCACAGTGCGTATCTTCATCACTCCAAAGTTCGACGAGCGCAATGTCCCCTGGATATTCTCGGACCAACGCAAGATGTGTATTGAAATGGACAGATTCGTCACTGTCCGTGAGTATTCAAGTACTACTTGTAATGCCTCCTATGTTAGCGGAGGTCGATAGAAACAAAGTGTTGTTTTGCGCCCAATTCCTATACATTCCCGGATGTCCTTCGACCACGGTTTCCTTAACAGTTCAGGACGTCCCCGGTCGCCCCGCACCTTTCACATTAAGCTGCTTTCAGACTACGTCATAATATAATAGCATCACTACTTAGTTTAAAACAAAGTCGCTTTCTCTGTCCCTATATCTGTCTGTCCCTATGCAAGCTTAAATCTTTAAAACTACGCAACGAATTTTATTGCGGTTTTTTTTAATAGATAGAGTGGTTGAAGAGGAAGGTTTATATGTATAATAACATCCATTAAATAGTGGAGAAATCAATAATAAATTACAGTTTCCGAAGCGAAGCGAGGGCGGGTCGCTAGTATAGTATATAGCTCATAGCACAACAATATCGCGCACCATACATTATTATGGACACGTTCACACTGTACTGTACTTTAAAGTATTGGCTAAGTATACGCTGCTATACTCTATGGCACTATAGTATAGCGTAATCTGAAAGCAGCTTTACACTGCAATCGCCATCGCTACGCTACCAAACCAGTGCAGTCGTGCGACCACACATTAACACGTTTTCAACTTTTTTCTGTAATAAGATCAAGCCAGGGCCAACCAACTCCACGGTAGAACGTAATGAAAAATAAAACTGGAGAATTATCTCTGATTTTATATTTCACAAAATAGCAGTCCTGGCTGCAGTATAAATTATGGACATTGGAAAAAGATTTTTTTTTTTTGCAATACTGAAAATCACTGAAAATAGTAAGAAACAACTAGCTTTACGAAGCCAATCGTTTTTTTTAAATTTCGAACGATATAAACCTTCCCGGTCACTTTAAATTTATCAGACTAATAATGACTGCTTAAAGCTCTATCGGTTATGAATAACACTCATTGACAGTCTTCTGGTAACGAGCTTATAAAACTTTAATGACTTATCCCTGAACCGGAAGAACCGGAAACAAAAAAACCTTCGATTTACTTAAAATAACTAACATAGGTTTATAACCTCGTTAAGCTTTTATTTATTAAATAGGACCGCTAATAAATAATAATAAAACAAATTGAAATAACCGTACCTACTTATCATTCACTATCATTTTGTAATAATCAAAATTAATACAACATTTCATATATGTATCATTTTGGTGTCAATAGTGACGTTATTATCAGTAAACATTACAAGATTATAAGAGATTATACTGTCTGAGATTACATTGGGGTTTCCTGAGGGCAAATTTACACAAGGATTTATCAAAAACGTGCACGCGACAATACTATCAGATCAGGAAATAATACTCGTGTCTCATATTGGCTATCGTCATAGCTAATCTTTTTGATTTGTGTAATTATAAAATCGCGTGAATAGTCGAAGGCGATAATTATAGGTGTGATTAAATAATATCGATTACTCATACTCGATAAGTCTGGTGTAAACATATACAAAGTTTGATCCATCGGTTCCGTGGAGATTCAATATCAAATTTTACAGCTGCGAATCAACCGCTCCCGACACTTTCTATTGTATATATTATTTATTATATATGTACATATCTTATATTTATATTATATTTTGAACTCTTCAGGCAAAAATATTATGTATTCCTAGATAATTGGATTGTAAAATCCATTATTTGCCACTTAAGGTACAATTACTTAACAGCCTACCTAAAAAAAATTGATTCTTATTCGGCTATCTTAGAAAACTAACGTCTTTCAAATAACTATATTTTACCGAATGTAGATATTGTACCTACAAGTAACCCTCTTATAACACGGAATTTTACAACACGATAAACAGATTTTTATTTAAAATTGTATTGCGCTGTAATCACAATATATGGCAATAACCGAAATTTTACTTCTTTTTATTGCTTAGGTGTGTGGACGAGCTCACAGCCCACCTGGTGTTAAGTGGTTACTGGAGCCCATAGACATCTAGAACGTAAATGCGCCACCCGCCTTAAGGTATAAGTTCTAAGGTCTCAGTATAGTTACAACGGCTACCCCACCCCTCAAACCAAAACGCATTACTTCTTCACGGCAGAAATAGACAGGATGGTGGTACCTACCCGTGCGGACTCACAAGAGGTCCTACCACCAGTAAATGTTGTATGAGGTTCACCTGTGTATATCGTACGAATATACAAATTCATGAACAATCTTGAACCTAATAACGTACTTATTTTATTGCAGTGAACGCCGGAGAGAATAATATTGTCCGTCAGTCGACGGAGTCTTCCATAACTATTCCGTTCGAACAGACATTCCGCGACCTATCCGCTCAGGGCAATGATCCACGACGCGACGAACTCGCTACCTTCAATTACTGCGGCTGCGGCTGGCCTCAGCACATGCTCGTGCCCAAGGGCACTGAAGCCGGCATGCCCTTCCAACTGTTTGTTATGTTATCCAACTATGATTTAGACCGGGTAAGTTGTCTATTGAATTATTTAAAACTACCGGCTAGCTCCGGCTCCGCACGGGTCTTTAAACAAAAATTTCAACGATATTTGACTTCTTTTATTTTTTAAATAAAATAACACTTATTGCGGCAAAACTATAATAGTTAGACATATGCTGTCGCGACACTTTTTGTAAGCAATAATGTGTTCTACAAAGTCGTTTTACATTATTTTATTCTATCATTAATAGTTTTCGCAGGGCACGCGATGTAAAGAATATTTTAGGTAATTTTTTTACACTTTGGGTTACATTGGAGTTTTAGTAAAAATCCTTAAATTTTTTAAAAAAAGGTTACAGCCTATGTCACTCGTGAATAGTGCAGCTTCCAAACAGTGAAAGAATTTTTCAAATCGGTTCAGTGGTTTCGGAGCCTATTCAATACAACCAAACAAACAATTTTTTCTTCTTTATAATATTAGTATAGAGTATAGAAGTACAGATGATCATAGTCCTTTTATCATCGCACCAACTTTCATCCGAGAATAGGACATCGCCAGTTTATAGTATTTGCTACGAACGAAGCTCAAGAGTGAGCTCAGTCACGATGTTTCCCAAAAGATATTATCGTCGACTGTTAACAAAAAGATTTTCAATGAATTTCAAACTACGGTTGAAAAATCTCGCTGTTATACAAAAGTTACAATGTATCAAACGAAATTGTCCACTTAAAAATGATAATTTATTGCTATAATATGTAAACTACTTAAAATTTTTGTATCAGAATTTTTCCTTTAACGTAGTGAAATATATTTTCTTTCTATATATAGATCGATCAAGATGACGGAAAACAGCTCACTTGTGTGGAAGCGTCGAGCTTCTGTGGATTAAAGGATAAGAAATATCCTGATAGGCGCGCTATGGGATTCCCGTTCGATCGACCCTCGAGCAGCGCCACCAGCCTCCAGGACTTCATTTTACCAAACATGGGCTTGCAGGACATCACTATTCAATTGCAAAACGTCACCGAACCTAACCCACGGAACCCTCCCATGTCAGTTTAAAATGTCGCAAAATTAAAATGAAATACGCGTCTTAAACCACAAATTCGATTTTTTATTTAAGTGTAGCATTTAAAAAACCAAAAGGCTGATGTATTCATCTTAGAATATTTTAATGTTAAATGTACATAATTTAGTTAGTTAACCTACTTAAGTGACCCGTTTTATGTTAATTTCTAAATAAAAAAAGCATATCCATATTCATTGTTTTATTACAAAACTGTAGCATCACGGTATCCTCCAGCCCAGTCATCAGCATCATCAAACAAAAAACTTGCATTCTTCTCCATTATCAGCNCTGATGTATTCATCTTAGAATATTTTAATGTTAAATGTACATAATTTAGTTAGTTAACCTACTTAAGTGACCCGTTTTATGTTAATTTCTAAATAAAAAAAGCATATCCATATTCATTGTTTTATTACAAAACTGTAGCATCACGGTATCCTCCAGCCCAGTCATCAGCATCATCAAACAAAAAACTTGCATTCTTCTCCATTATCAGCAGTCTTCATTTTTTGCATGCAGCTACCTGTGAAGTCACTTGGTTGAATGTAAATAAACAATTTTTATTTTTTTATTCAAGACTGCATCAGTGAATCAGGCCTATCATTCTGTATCATATGGTTTTCAAACAAAACACATAATCGGCTCGTGTTTACTTTCATCATTTTAATAAAAAACAAATCTAATTCAATTTAATCTTTGAAACTGATAGTAGTTTTGTGTGGAATGTTATTATTATAGCTATGGAACTTGCATATATATACTTTGTTCTCAGAGCAGTTAAAGAAGTTATAACTACACTATAGTCACAATTCTAATTAAATTTCTTTTGTTCTGTGCAAATTACATTAAAAACTTAGATTTAATGTTTATTGTTGGGCTAATTTTAATCTATGCTTACCCTGTTACAACCATTAGTAGAATATTCTGCCTCTCAGGAACTGCATTGGTCCTGTAAATTAATTTATCATTAAACACTTTCAACGCTATTTTTTTACTAGGCAAAAAAAACAATATTATCAGGCCTATCATTATCAATCATGTGTTGTATCATACTTAACACATTTTGGCTCGTGTAGTTTTCTCATCATTGAATACCACCTATTTAATATGATTAACTGACTGACTTAATTTCAGTGAAAAAAGCAATTATTCACTTTCATTAATTAGTTTGAAAATTATTATTCTTATTCAAACATATGGTTATTAAGTTTTATTTAAGTTAAGATCACTTATCCAAACATATTTATGTAACCATCAACTTACCATGAAGTTTACCAAAGTGACTTCAGCTATTCCTGAAAAGAAAAGAATAAAATGAATACAGTGTTATAGTAATTAGTTGTCCAGTTTTTTATAGTCTTAATAAAAAATCAGTCCTATCATTTAGAATCATGTAGTTATCATAACAACACATTTCGGCTCGTGTAGTTTTCATCATAGATAAGAATTTGGGGGTATCCTTTATCGAGTGACCGTTTGTAGTTTCCTCAAATAACTTCCTGGTGAGAAATTTACCTGAACAAATAATCTTATCTTATCGATAAGCTGTACTCAATATAAACATTTATTTAATATATTCTGGTTAATGTTACAAGTTAAGAGTTGGACAGAACGTGTGCAGCACGTGGTCGACTTATGAAATTAAGGTTCAGTACAGAGCACTCAATAGCGATTATAATTAATTTTTGCATTTATTAAATATTAAAAGTCTTACTCAAAATTCACGGGGGTAAAAAACTATAGAAAATCCACAATAAACCAATTGAGCTTCGAACCATGCCGATCACTTTCAATTTTAATTAGAAGAATTGACGGATTGACGAGGACCAAAGACTAACTAACGGTCGTGTCGTACAAATTGTTTCAGATAATGATGATGATTTCAGATCGATTTTCAAAATTTCGATTTTGGACCAAAATAATTTTATTATTTATTCGAAACTAACCAATGAAATGGACCATAAAAATACTTTGTGTTCAATTCAAGTGCAAATATAAAATAATTTGTGATTAATTGATTTACTGAGTGCACCCAAACACATGATAAAAATTGCAATATTCACAAATTATCTCGACAGAGCCTCACATCTTAAATTATCATTCATCACCTTACCTCGCATTTAAAGAAATAAAAGAAAGCTTTTGTATGTATTTTTATTTTTTCTGTGGGCAGTGTTAAGGTAGCAGATATTGCTTCATTTGCGGTCCGAGTATATCGATTTGAGAGAAATACATCTTCACGGCATCGATTTTTTAAGCCGATTCATCAGACTTCTATTTAAAGATCGATATTTTTCGGAAATACTTCATTTTATTACAACTTAAGGCAGATTTACATTGAGTCAGTAACTAATGTCAGTGCGCTGCCGAGTCAGTGGTGACCTGGCACTGCCATCGTATAAATTGATTCAAGTCAGCACAGTACTGTCGCGTCAGTACTGACATCAATATTCCCGCTTCATATTTTTCGGCGTAAGTCCGCTCCCCCCGCCACCCACGCCAGCGCAACTGACGGCGTGTAAATGCCGAAGTTCAGTTAGTTAAGTCAGTCGCTGCCGCCTTGTTGTACGGAGACCGCGCTGCGTTGCACCAAATTTTTTATTGCTTAGATGGCTGGACGAGCTCACAGCCCACCTGATGTTAAGTGGTTACTGGAGCCCATAGACATCTACAACGTAAATGCGCCACCCACCTTGAGATATAAGTTCTAAAGTCTCAGTATAATTACAACGGCTGCTCCACCCTTCAAACCGAACCCCGCCTATTTCTGCTGTGAAGCAGAAGCGGGTGGTAGAACCTACCCGTGTGGACTCACAAAACGTCGAACCACCAGTAAACCACACCACAAAATGACACGAAGAACTTAAAGATTATTCAACTATACCGCGATAATGAATGCCTGTGGGGTAATAAATCACAAAATTATATAAATAAAGAAATGCGTGCAACAGCAGTACAGAATAATAATATTAAAGTGACTAAGATTTCGAAACGACATTCCAGAACCCAAAATTGTCAGTGTAATTTCGAATTTCACTTTGGCTGGCAAGGTGTCTCTTATAAATGTGTCTTGACGCTGAACAGAGCTTGATAATAACGTAAGCAAATCATTAAAGTCTTTTGACGCCATTCTCAAAGCCAGTTTGTATTCCCCAGGATCTTCAATTCTCAACTGGGTTAACAACAGAGCTGAGCCTCCAATTTGATCTCTGTCATCTATCTATTTTCTTACCCAAATTCCCTTCTTTTTAGATATCTCCTCTTTTAACATACCAGTTAGTTTTCATTCATTACATTTCCTCAACAAATTATTAACTCTGATTTTTTGCTGTTTTCGAGAATTCATTTTTCCGCACTGACTTTACAAACGTGTATACGCCATAAGAAATATCCTCGACTACTGACGAAATACTGGCTGCGTATAAATCGTATGAGTCAGTTGTCAGCGCCAGCACTGGCGACAGCTACTGACCCTGTGTAAATCTGCAATTACTTTGGACGGTGGTGTTCGAAATTATGTCATTTTGTAGCGAACTTCGATATTCACTTTTGAATACCGTCTGTTGTTCGCTTGTGACGAAGGGCTCGACAAGTAAATTTACCCCACAGACACAGCTCACTGAGTTTCTCGCCAGATCTTCTCAGTAGGTCGCGTTTCCGATCCGGTGGTAGATTCTGCGAAGCACGGCTCTTGCTAGGGTTCGTGTTAGCAACGTCGTCAGGTTTGAGCCCCGTGAGCTCACCTACTATTTAAGGTTACGCTGAAATAGCCTCTTAAGGCTATCAGCTGAGGTAGGAAATAAAATAAAAAAGGCGATGTGAATATTAGTACCTTTTTTTTTTTTTTTATTGCTTAGGTGGTTGGACGAGCTCACAGCCCACCTGGTGTTAAGTGGTTACTGGAGCCCATAGTCATCTACAACGTAAATGCGCCACCCACCTTGAGATATAAGTTGTAAGGTCTCAGTATAGTTACAACGGCTGCCCCACCCTTCAAACCGAAACGCATTACTGCTTCACGGCAGAAATAGGCAGGGCGGTGGTACCTACCCGCGCGGACTCACAACAGGTCCTACCACCAGTAATTACGCAAATTATAATTTTGTGGGTTTCACTTTTATTACACGATGTTATTCCTTCACCGTGGAAGTCAATCGTGAACATTTGTTGAGTACGTATTTCAATAGAAAAATTGGTACCCGCCTGTGAGATTCGAACACCGGTGCATCGCTTCAACACGAGTGCACCGGACGTCTTATCTTTTAGGCCACGACGACTTCTACTTTGTTATAATGTAAAGTTTTAGATAGGAGCTTATCACTTAAGAGAATAAATATACGAAATAATTAGGAACTAATTGCTTTAGATAGATAAATGAAATTGTGAAAATCTGAAATATTTTATTAGTATACTTGAAGTCTACTACAATGATAATTATCGAAAATCTGAGGATTTTTTTTTATTGCGTAGATGTAAATTAAAAAATCTAAATTATTGAAGACCACTAAAACTTTTTAATTCAAATAAATATTTCGGCTTATTGACTTATTTGGCTTTTAACCTCATAACTCAAAAGTATACTTAATGTTAACATTCGATGCTTCGAAAATAGGTATACATTTGTACTCGATACACTGCAACTTCGATGTGTGCATTATGTTTTGAGAGTTTTGTTTCTATTACATATTCGCTAGTAGCAGCCTAAGGGGCTATTCCAGCTACACGCGGACGGGTAGGTGAGCTCACGGGCTCAACCTGAGAGAATTTGCTAACACTGGCCCTAGCAAGAGCAGCACTTACATAACTAGTTTATGCGTATTATCTACGAAAAGCAGTGCATCGCAGAACCTACTACCGGATCGGAATCGCGACCCAGTGAGAAGACGCGGCGAGAAACTCAGTGGGCTGTGTGATATTTATCATCCCTCCTGCATCATGAGCATCCCTCGACCTCGACCTCACCTCAAACGAACATTAAAATGCTAGATCGGTAGTTTCTGAGATAAATATCCGTACATTGCGCACAACAATGTTAATGCTCATCTTAATTTAAGGGGAATTTACATTACGAAATTAGTGGTATGAAATTAATTTCGTGACATTAGTTTTACCAACAGTTTCACGAGTAAATTAATATTTTCGTAATGCATGCATTAATTTCTTGCATACAAATAAGTATCGTGCCCTGCGCGATTTTTTGGTGAAATTAGTGTCATGCAACTAATTTCATAGTGTAGACGCGACGTGAAACTAATGTCGCGAAGGGTACTGCGCTGTGTCACTATGGACGTGTGTATTTTCCGTTCGCGCGCGCTTCGAGCGTTGAAAATGGCAAATCAACGATGGAGTACAGATAAAAATATAGATTTCAATAATGAATATCAGCGACAAGGGTGTCTCTGGGACCCGAAACACCTACAGTAAAAAATCTAAATTATTTTCACTCATTCAAAAATAGTTTTTATAGCTTTCAGGATCTTCATCTGCTAATTCAGAGACTAACTTCATTGCACCTAAATGCCTTCTTGTTAACCATCCTCGAATCTACCAAGGTCTTTTTTTTCTTGATAGTCTTAAGTTTATAGGTATATAAGCATTTCTTTAGCTACATGGAATATAACAAAATATAGCTTTGTTGCTGATGGCGCCACGGTTACTGCGATACTGTGGATTTCGCGACACTTAATTTTTTTACGAAATTACTTTCGCATATTATTATATGGAAATTACTTTCGTGAAAATGAGTTCAACATGCATGACACTAATTTCGTAATGTAAACTCCGCATTAAACAATAACTTTGTTAATTACACATTAAGGATCATTTTTTTTGTTATAGGAAAAAATGGCCGGATCTCCACCCGCACGGTGGACGGGGTATGTGGGAGTTGAACCTCGCTAAAAACTCCTGCCGCTCACAGCCGGCACCCTACCCCGGACCGGACCGGAGCCCAGTCGGAGCTATTGAGACGGCGGGACAGGGTTTACGTAGAGCATATTACATCTATCCCGCCACATTAAGGATCATACAGAATTAAATGCAATATGAAACATAATTTATATTCACTATAAAATGCTTTAAATGAATAGAGTCTATAGAATCTCTTACAGGAAAGAAGACAGATTTTCATAATACTTACAAAGGCATGTGTGGAATAAAATTATTACAGGTGCTTATAAAAACATTTGTAAAGCTAGATTACATCGTGTTGGACTATCTTAAAATGCAATATGTACCGTCCATTGTAGAAGAATAAAAATTAAAATAATCAAGAAAAGCTTTAAAGCGATCATCTCATTCCCACATCGCAAATCGCACAATAGACGTGGGTTAGAAGTTGGGCGTTGTCCATCTGACAAAACGGATTGCCTAACCTAGAAAGATCGAGAGCGTTAAAGGCTTACATTATTATTACATTCAAATTAATTTATTTTTACGAGGCATCACTTATATAGCGAATCAAATTATTTCATAAATTTTAACACCTTCCGTCTAGAAAAAATCCTGAGTTACACTAATAGCGATCTATTTACCAATCGTAAATTTTGCTAAACATTATTATTCCTCAGTAGTTTTTAAAACTATGGTACAATACAGATAGTTCAATTGTAGGAACTATGTTTCATTTAAGCAATCCTATCCATCAAACCAAAACACTTTACTGGTGGCAGGACGTCTTGTGAGTCCGCACGGGTAGGTACCCTGCCTATTTCTGCCGTGAAGCAGTAATGCGTTACGGTTTGAAGGGTTGGGCAGCCGTTGTGCTCTTAAAACTGAGACCTTAGAACTCATATCTCAAGGTGAGTGGCGGCTATTAC